CTCGCAGCCGAGAGGGAGGCTCGACCTACAGCCTGTTCATTAGAAAACCTGAAGGGTAAGCATATAGCAAGCTTAGCCAAAAAAAAAACAGCGCATCAGGGCGGCAGAGGAAGGGCCTAGATCGCCTGATGTCTGTTGGTTCCAGGTGCTCTGGGAAAACAGAGAACTCAACTCTCATGTGAGAGGAGAACTCCAAATTCAGATAAGGAGTAGCGTGCTCATAGGTGACCCTTTGATAAAGGGGAGCACTGCTAAACACTACCACGAGAATAGCCCACGGAGCGAGGAATCCAACTCAGAAGGGAGAGAATTCAAATGCTCGAAAGAAAGCACCATGCTCACAATAACCCTCAATGGTGAGGGGAGCGATGCTTCAAATATGTGTCAACAGAGACACACTGGTTGAGTGGAGCCCAAGGTACCAGGGTCTAAACCAACTCAGAGAAAGGGAACGAGGTTAATAACGCGTAACTCTTACCATACAGGGTTTCAGAAAAGTGCGCAAAGTATAACGTGCCCACTTACCACTATGTGGATTTCAGAAAGTGCACAAAGCTTAGCGTGTGCACTTACCATAGCATGGATTTAAGAGCTTCCCAAGCATCTGTTCACAGATACCCGGAAGTACTGAGCCAAACGGGAGAGGCAAGCTCAAATACAACCCTCTAAGGCGAGGGGAGCACTGCCCGAGACAGCATTACACAAGAAGGTTCTTGCAAATGCCATCTATACTTCCCGCTCGATGCCTCAATAAGAGGGGATATCCTGGTGACCAGGAAGCCCTTCAGGGCGACCTAGATACAGTGTACCAGACAGGGCAGTCTGAAAGCATAAGCCCAGCCCAGACATCCAGGAAATTTTGCAGTGCCGTGCCGGAGGCCTGATGATCAAGAAGGCTCCCGCAGAAGCCTGTGACCTGGCCGCATGATCCAGGAAGCATGAAGCCGGAACCAGGGCTATCATACCGCTGGACACTATATCGACGAGTGAAGGACCTACCCTAGAAAAAGGACAGAAACACACAGGTCCCGGAAAACGAGCCACGACACTAGCCTTTTGTGCCCGTCTCTGATCCTCAAACCGAGACGGGCCAGGACCCCTGGGTTGTTCGGGCTCAGACCTGGACCTTCGTGGAATGAAGGATTGGAAGGTTAGTTCACCCAAAAATGAAAATTAGCCCATAACTTACTCACCCTCAAGTCATCCTAGGTGTATTTGACTTTCTTATTTCAGACGAATCCAGTCGGAGTTATATTAAAAACTGTCTTTGATCTTTCAAGCTGTTTAATGCCACTCAGCGGGTGTTGCATGCATCAGTCCAAAAGAAGCTAAATAAAAAGCGCCCATCCATTAAAAAAAAGTTTCTCACACGTCTCTGGGGGAGTGAACAAAGGCCTCCTGTAGCGAATCGATGTGTTTTTGTAAGAAAAGTATCCATATTCAAAACGTAATAATCACTTTAATGTAGCTTGCGCCAACAGTTGTACCCGGAAGCAGTTCTGGGCGGATGACGTATGAGGCCGGCTTTGCGCATGCGCCGCTCAGAAGTGACGAACTTATTAGAAGTACAAAACGAGGATTTGTAAAAGAAGAATGTCGGAGGATTTCGATATAAACCAAGAGGAGACTGGTTTTCCTTTGCTAGAGTAAGGAAACTTTGCTTCCTTTGATCCTGTTAACAAACGTTGGTTTTCACGAGACTCACCGGCGCATGCGCAACGCTGACCTCATACTTCATCCTCCCGGAGCTGCTTCTGTGTACAACTGTTGGCGCAAACTACATTAAAGTGATTATTACGTTTTGAATATGGATATTTTTCTTACAAAAACGCATTTATTCGCTACAAGAGGCCTGTGTTCACTCCCCGGAGCCGTGTGAGACACTTTTTTATGGATGGGCGCATTTTATTTAACTTCTTTTGGACTGATGCATGCAACACCCGCGGAGTGGCATTAAATAGCTTGAAAGATCCAAGACAATTTTTTATATAACTCCGACTGGATTCGTCTGAAAGAAGAAAGTCATATACACCTAGGATGACTTGAGGGTGAGTAATTTATGGGCTAATTTTCATTTTTGGGTGAACTAACCCTTTAATGCCCACATGAGAATTCACACTGGAGATAAATCTTACACCTGTAAACTGTGTGGGAAGAGTTTCTCACGAAATGGAGGTCTTAAGACTGACATGATAATTCACATTGAAAATAAGCCATTAATATGCCCTCAGTGTAGAAAGAGTTTTACGCAAAAAAAAAAAACCTAAATGCCCACATGAGAATTCACACTGGAGAGAAGCCTTTCACCTGCCCTCAGTGTGGAAAGAGTTTCAGGCTCAAAGAAAACCTTAGGACTCACATGCGGATTCACACTGGAGAAAATCCATTCACGTGTAGTCAGTGTGGAAAGAGTTTCAGATATAAAGAAAACCTTAATAAGCACATGAAGATTCACTCGAGAGAAGAGTTTTAAATGTCATCAGTGCGAAAGGAGTTTTACAGACAGGAATCACCTTCAGAATCATGTTAAAATTCACATCGGAGAAAAGACTTTCATGTGCCATCACTGTGGAAAGAGCTGCTCAAAAGAAGGAAACCTCAAGGCTCACTTGAGAATTCACACTGGAGAGAAACCTTTCACCTGCGAACAGTGTGGAAAGAGTTTCACGGTTAAAGTAAACCTTCAGATTCACAAGGTAGTTCACACTGGAGAGAAACCTTACAAGTGTCTGCAGTGTGAGAAGAGTTTCACTTGTCAAAGCAGCATGAAACATCATTTGAAAACTCATTCTGGGGAAAAAATTGCCATTTTCCTCAGAATGACAAGAGGTTTAGAAAAAGAAGCAATTTCTACAATCTGCACATTCATTCTGGAAGACATTCAATTGCAGTCAGTGTAATAAAAAACATTATTTGCCATCACACTTACAGAAACATGTGAAAAGTCATGCAAATGTGAGACTCTGTTTGTGTTCTTTGTTGAAGAATATGACAAGAGAAAACGCTGTGTGAAATCAAGGCTATGTTCAGACCGCAGCTAAATGTGGGCTACATCTGATTTTCACCTTCATGACTACTTTTTTTGTTTGCATCCTTCACCTGTTTATGCTTGACCATAAGGCTTTTTAATTTTCTTTTCTGCATATGTACTCCTGTGGCCATACCTGATCATCTTCTTTGCTGTAGTTTCAAATATTGATCGGTTACATTAGATTCCCTCAAATTTTGAATATGTAGAGGTGTCACTCAATTTCCTCTGAATCAAAATATTAGTCAAACTTTTACCATGCTGGGAAAAGCAACAATGTAACAGGAAGATTATAAATAAATTGACATAAACTGAACAAAATTACTTGTTCCCATTTATTCTAGGTGTATTTTAGCTTATTATTTAGTCAATTTCAATTGAATCTTGTAATATCTGGATACGTTTACTGATTGTGGAACTCTGGAAATACCAGGCAACTTTGAATTTATGATCAGGAAAGCATGGAAATATTACTCTAGTTTTGCACAGGTCTGAATTGTTTTTGTTTGTTTGTTTATCAGCACAGTTCATTCTTTGTTGTGCTTCCAATAGCCTGTATGTACAGTACATATATGTACTGTTTCCCTTCTAATTCATTTGCTGCAATAAACAATCCTAAGCAGTTGGCCTTCATTCCTTTTGTTGTTAATTATACATTAGAGAAAGTATTTTATAGAATTTATTAATTCTCCACATTGCTTGTAGGCTTGCAGGATGCTGGAGCCGATCCCGTATCTCGGGCCGAAGGCAGGGAAACACCATGGACAAATGGCCAGTCCATCACAGGGCTCGATGTATTTAAAGGGGTCATGAACTGCCTTATTCATTATTTTGTACTGTTCTTTGAGGTACACATAATGTTATGAAGATTTTTACATTAAAAAACAGCAACATTTACAAATAATAGGCTATTTTCTGTCCTGTTTTGACCCCTCTTATCGGAATGCACTGTTATATAGGCCTGGTGGACTGTTGACTCAAACAGTTGTGTATGTTTGACAGCCTACATTCCTACATTCCTCATAGATGGATGTTGATTTAGGTCAAAAACGCATAAATACTCAGTACATATCAAATTATCTGTAAAAACAGATAATCATGTAATAAATACAGTTACTCTCACTTGTGTGTTGCGATATTACTGTCGGATGCAATATAGTCTGCACTGCATCATGGATCTTATCTATGCACAATCAGCTTGTAACACTCCAAAGAAAGGAAAACTTGAAATCGCATCATATGACCCCTTTAAAGACATCTTCTAAATGTCTATTTAACATCTGGTAGGAAACGTCCTATAGACGGATTGCAGATGAGCAAACACTCTAAAAAATATGTCTTGCATATGTAAATGCAGACGTCTCCGTGATGTACGTGTGCTATCAGGGTTTTAGTTTCAATCTTTCTGAAAATCCTGCCTTGAACTGTGCCTTGTTTGTAAACAAATCCGTGGGGAAAAAAAAAAAGAGTGAACCAAGGACCAAGTTCTTACCGACGCTGTCTGGATCTTCATTAAAAATAAAGTTCATCCACTCTTTCCTAACGTTGTTTTCTGAGCCATCTTTATCGTTTGGTTTCTGTGTAGACCTGCGTTTACTGCTCTCATTTACACTAGATGTGTGAATCAGTGGGCGGGGCTAAACAGACAGTGATGTAGAAGCAGGCGTTGATCTTCTTCTGCGAAGGCTGTGTTTAGCCACAATATTACATCATAAAGTGGCACATTCCACATGAGTCGTATTCTGAGCTTGGTTTCAATAAAAGCTGTTTTTAAATAACGAGAAAGTTTTGAGTTTTGAAACTTACAGGATGTTTTTATAGTACAATGACATTTATATGTCAAAAGATCAAGGGAAACTTGACCCCTTTAAACCTCAATGAAAATCTGTGGAATGACTTGAAGACTGCAGTCCACAAACAGTCACCATCAAATTTAACTGAACTCGAGCAGTTCTGCAAAGAAGAGTGGGCAAATATTGCAAAGTCTAGACGTGCAAAGTTAGTAGAGACATCCCAACAGACTAAAGGCTGTAATTAAAGCAAAAGGTGGTTAAAAACACACAAACACACACAAGGCAGTGATCCGTTTTCCAACTCAGTGATTGTTTTTTTGAGAGGGATGAGAACGTTTCACGTTTATGAGAACGAGATGAGATTTTTTAACTTTTTAAAAGAAATACTCAATGATGAAATATATAGGGAAAATAGACTTTTATTCAACTGAAAAACACAAAATGCCAAAAAAAAAAACTCTAGGTGCATTTTGAAATCAACTTATACTTTATGAAAATAAACTTCCATTTTAATGAATTGTATGCAGTAATAAACATGTAATCACTGCAAAATGTTCTGTCCACAAACTCGACTGACAGGCAAGTAATTACACAAAAATTACAAATAGTATAAATAAAAATAAATAATAAACAACACAAATAACCCTTTAAAGTGGAAGTGAAGCAGTCAGTCAGGTTTATATAATTTAGTAAACTGATTTCCAAAAAAATATATATAATAAACACAATTAATGTAACCGTTTCAAAGAAAAAAGGATGTTTTGTTATAGCTTTTGGAGCAAGGGCGCAACAGAGAGAGTGTGTCTGAACCCCGAACGTTATGAAGGCTATTCCAGAGTTTGGGAGCCAAATATGAAAAAGCTCTACCTCCTTTAGTGGACTTTGCTATCCTAGGTACTACCAAAAGTCCAGAGTTCTGCGACCTTAGGGAGCGTGATGGATTGTAGGGTTGGTTCGCTCCGTTGGCCAGTGCAGTAATATAAGCATTTCTTTACTTTTTAAACACACACTTGTATTTAAATTGAGGAAGACGAACTTAAAAGGACTGTTGAGCCCATAATAAGTGCAATTGCTTGTGCATTTGAGCCGATATGGCGAGGGGACTGAGCAGTAGGCTACTACTGTTACGGGTGGAAGTCCTGAACCTGCTGGTTTGGGGTGAAGAGTGGGTTGGAAACAATATGTGTTTACGTGGATACTCGTCAAGACCGTGATTCTAACATAATTTTGTGTGCATTTGGTCAAGAAGACGTGAAGAAAAACTCAATTTGGTTCTCGCATATGCTGTCTGAGCTGTGGCTTTATGTGTGCGCACAGAAACGGTCTATCACAGCACGCATGTACCGCACTGAAATCTCTTTCACGCTGTCTCACGCTTGAATGGTTTAAAACACTTTAATGTTTAAACTGACAAGTCTTACAACATGTGAGAGTGATAAACGTTCTTGAGGAAGCAGCACTAGCCCGATTGTTCAGATAGGTGATTAGTTTAGTTAGATTAGTTTGTGAATCCAGTGTTAGATTAACACTGGAGCATCTTGTTAACAGCAGGTAAGCATATCGTATTCACAGGTGAACATAAAATATCTTGCATACCACTACTGGTGAACGAGCCAGTGTTATGCAAATATGTCTGAAAGGCCTGACATATGCCAATAGCTCGGGGATATCGTCACATTCTCGCGAGACCAGTCAGATCTTGCGAGATCATGAGATTTCGTCACACCCCTATAAAAGATGTAAATACAGCTGGATGAAACAAACACCGTGTCCATCTTCATTTCAGGCTGCAAAGCAACAAAATGTGATTATTTTAAAGGGGGTGATTCTTTTCAATACCCACTGTATATAATTATTAGTAGATGCGCTATACCTTTATTATTTAGAAATTGACCAATAATTTGTGACCTATATTTTATATGTAGATTGATTTCTCCTCTCTAAACTGTTTCACAAGTGTGTTCTCTTATCACCACTGCTTCTGCATGAATGTGACGTATCACATCACAGAGACCGAGGCCTGTCCTGAGAGTCACAAATTAACAAGGCAGAGGTAGAGCTGCATCTTCCACCAAATAATTACATTGAACCAAAGAAATAAAAGCAAACTATCTGTACCATATTTAATTGCGTATTATCATATTGTTCCATTGCATCATATTGCATTGAATCGCATTGTATTGAATCGAATCAAAATCGGTTTACACTGCATTGGTAGATGCTTCATATCCATCTTTGATGAGGCACCCACTGTTTCTTTAAATTCACTTTTTCTATTTGACCCTTTATTGTCACGTACCCTCCTTTCGTGAACACCAGTCATCTCTAGAGAAGGGGGGATTGAGGGCTGCCTTTGCCTTGTTTACAGCATCCTCCATAAGATCCAGTGGAGGAGCCAGTAATTTTTTGCTTCCTGGCCCCAGAAACAGACACTCCCTCCCATATTTTAATGATAAAGTGTCGTTTTTGACAATGTAGGCACTGCCCTCATCAAAGACAGGGTTCACCCCACTGGTAAGTGCCAAAAAAGCTACTGCTATCAAGAACACTGATGGTTTTGTTTGTGTATGACCAATTTTTTTTTTCTCTCATTACAAAAGAGGCTGGTTTAGATTTGGTTCTATTCAGTACGCATTTACAGGTGCACTGTAAATCCTAACTAGTTCAGTTTACTTAAAAAAAGTTTGGAAACTGATTGCCTTATTTTGGCAAAGTAAACTTAAAGGTAAAACTAAGTTAATTTACTAATCAGTTTAAAGTAAAGAAAGCAAACTCTTCCTGAGTAAATTAAGTAATAAATATCAAGTTAGTTTAATGTCATTTCTAGTCAACATACTCCAGGATATTTGCTAATCTTACTTAAGATGTAATAGTAAGATTACTTTATTAATTCCATTTAACTAACAGTGTTATTTTGTGTTCCGCAAACATCTTAAATGCTGTTATTATCAACATGGATTTAATCTGCCATTTTAAGCAATGGGGACTTAAAACATTACGTGCAATCGGTTTCCACACAGGGTGTCTGCGGGGTCTTAAAAAGTATTAAAAGTTGATCAATCAATTTAGAGAAAATTAAGGACCTTAAAAAGTATTAAAAAGTCTTAAATGCCATTTTCCAAGGTATTAAATTTTGTATCATCTTTTCATTATGTATATTTGTCGAATAGTGGGGTTCTGTGTAGTTTATTTATGGAATCCCGCGAGATTTGACGTCATCTGTTACGGCGCTCACTGACTGACTGCGTGATAGCGTGGGGCTTGTTGATGCCACTCTCGCTGAATTTCTGACCATTACCGCATGCTCCCATCTGCTCCCGCGATTTTTGTGTCCGCTCCTGTAAACATTCTAATATTGTATATAATTTTCGCGCATCAGGGCGCCGCTATCAATATGTGGGGTATTTAAATCCCCTTTGAATGAGCGCTCTCAGTTTCACTTAAGATTTCGCGATCGCGCGCGCACTGTGTAAAGGGAGCACATCTTACGATAAAAGATATTTGTCAATGAGCTCGGGATCTGTTTCCCAACATCTTGTCAGTTATCTCTCCTTACGTTTGACCCGTGATTAGTCAAATCTGACTTCTGCAGCTCGTGTTGGATGCAGGGTTGAAATTGGGCTGCTTTTAAACTGTTTCCATGGGTTGATTTTCCCCAGTGGGTTAAAGGTTTGAAATATTGCATAAACTACATTTGGTTGTAATGCTTGTACTGAAACGTTTTGCATTCTACCTGTAATAAAACTGTGCTAAATGTTTTGGGCCAAACTACTAGGAAGCATTTGAGCTGTGTTTATGATAAATGTGCATAACAGTGACTGTAAAATGTGTATTTTAGGGATGGAAATTACATTTTTATATTTGGGACATGGTAATTGCGCTACTTTGGGCTTTTTCCTTTTTTTTTTACTGGCATGGGCTTGGGATGCACAATTAAAATGTAATAGTTGTGATCATTATTTTACCTTCCATGATCATTCAGACATGACCAGGTGCAGTACTGACACACTGTGAAGTCTGCATCAAATCAATCACTCCGTAATCACAGGTAAACGGTCTGATCAGTCAGATGTTTGTCATGAAAAGTGTTCCACAAAACAGCTATGGTTTGAGTTGATGTTACAAATGCATCTTTTGAATATACTGTGTGAACTCATTGCAACGTTAGCTCGGAGAGCTTTATTTTCCCTCCTCAATAAGTTTTGTTTATTGGTCTAATTCTTGTTTATTGGGTTGCATTGGTTAGTCACTCAATTAATTCTCTTGTGCTTCGTTCCCCACTTCTGAATTATGTTGTATTGATAAGGAGTTATCACAAAGTAAGTCTGTTTAGTTGTGCTATATCTTACAAACAGTATATAGTAAATGTAAGTTAAAGTGTCGCCGATGTAATTGGTTACAACTTGGAGTGGCGATGAGGTCTTAAAATGTATGGAAAGAGTCTTAAAAAAGGTCTTAAAAGGTATTCAATTTAACTCCATGATTCCTGTATATACCCTGCCACATTTTCTTCAAGTAAAGTGAACGTATTTTTAGTAGTTCAACCAGCATGGAATGCACTTAACACAAGTTTGAATTTTTCAACCATTTATTTTTGTAAAAAACAGCTAGAAAACTTAAAGAATATCACAATAAAAAAATTAAGCTTTTAAAACATCTGTTCTTATAAATACTCTTTACAGACTTCTTGACTAAACAGCACTTTGCTGTCAGAACATTATCTGGACCTACTGGAACACCATTAAAAAATAGAGCATTTTCAGAATGGTATGCAAACAGAAAAGCAAAAATAAAATACAGGCCTTTAAAACCCATCCATGACAATTCTTCCCTCCAACATGATTGACTGTATTGCGTCCACAATGAGGGCATGTCTTCTGATAGAACTGTGAGCAGGTCTACAACTGCTTCACTAAAGTCTGCATCTACATCCACATCCTAAGTAGAGAAAGAAAAATAGGTACGGTGTGAATTTCTTCCTTTCAATTCTGGAAATGTTCTGAAAGCATGCAGTGACAAGGGGCTGTTGAGCAAAATTTTAAATTTAAATTTTTAATTTAAGCAACTTGATTCATATTGATGACCAGAGTGAGTGTACAGTGATCTGCGCAAACAT